ATCTGATAGATCATAAACTAAACGTTAGAAATTACAGTTTAAACCAGTCATTCTCAAACAAGGGTGCATGGAACCCTAGTATTCTGCCAGAGGGTCCTTGAGTTGTGGCTGATTGTACTCCCATTAAATAGCTCTGGAGGCAGTGCCACTTGGCAGAGCCAGGAGCATGACACTAGTGAACTCTTTAGTTGTTTGTAAATGTGGCAATTTCTCCAACTGACCACCGATATACATTTCCAACTGACCTCCAATGAATTGATTTCAGCAGGGATTCCCTGAGACCTGAAAATCATTTTAAGGATTCCTCTGGGATAAAAGAGAGAAAGACTGGTTTAGACTGAACATACTAGCCCCAGACACGCATATGTTGCCCAAGAATGATGGGTAGGTCTTTCTTTTCTCTTTAGAGGAGGTAACCTCCGCTAATTCTCACCCAGTAGAAGGGAACATATGTGAGATTAATGCCTCTTTACTGATGTTTATATGCTGGATCTTACTGGCAGAGGTTGACATATAGATCCTGAGTAAAAAAATGCACGGTATGTTCAGTAAAGACCACGTGTATACATTTCTGCACTCAAAATGAAATGTTCTCTTTTATTTTTTATGGCTTCGAACACATCACTGCATTATGGATCTTTAAGCTGCTGTGTGCAGTGTCACGTACACAACATTGCACCCCTGTTCAGATCCATAAAAAACTCTACACAGCTACAAGCACAGCATTGGTTTGCTTGCGTGCAAGAGACCTGAAACACAAGTATGAGTTATTATAGTGTAAACAGTAGTTGATTAACTAAGGGCGGACTGTCTGTTCACTTTTTCCATTAGCTTAGATAATGTGGTGAAAATTCACTTGGCAAAGAATACCCCATCATGTACATGGGATAAAAAAAAACTATTTTTGCTTGCACATGATTGGACAATGGAAGGCAGCGAGCTTCATATCATTCATTAAATTGGAGTTCCACCCAAATGGGGACATTCTACTTTAAGGCCTCATCCCCCTCTCCCTGTTAAGTATTGGCATCTCTGGGGAGTGGTTACCCTACTTTGACAGGTACTCACTCCCACTTTTGCTGCAATCGCCTAGGCCGGGTGTCGGCAACCCGCGGCTCCAGAGCCGCATGCGGCTCTTTTTCACCTTGGCTGCGGCTCCAGAGCACACTGCCCACCAGGTGACAGGCAATAGGGCAGCAATAGGCAAACTACGGCCCGCAAGCCGTATACGGCCCGGCGGACCTTTTAATCCGGCCCGTGGAGCTAGGCTCCCGCTAGGCTCCTCTCACAGTCCGCCCTGAAGACCGATGTAGCATGAAAATCTGTCTCCTATGAGGATCTGTCCCCCTCGACGTATCTGCGCATGTGCCGGAGATCGCCGATCGGCTGCTAATGCCTGAAACTGGCACATGCGCAGATACGTCGAGGGGGACAGATCCTCATAGGAGACAGATTTTCATGCTACACCTGGAACGGCGCGGGAACACGGCGAGAGGAACGCGCGGAGCAAAGGTAAGTGAATTGACACAGGGGGGACTTGGGGACTTAATATGGGGGATGAATTAATATGGGGAATGAATTACTATAGGGGGGATGAATTACTATGGGGGATGAATTACTATAGGGGGGATGAATTACTATATGGGGGATGAATTACTATAGGGGGGATGAATTACTATATGGGGGATGAATTACTATATGGGGGATGAATTACTATGGGGGATGAATTACTATATGGGGGATGAATTACTATATGGGGGATGAATTACTATGGGGGATGAATTACTATATGGGGATGAATTACTATGGGGGATGAATTACTATATGGGGGATGAATTACTATGGGGATGAATTACTATGGGGGATGAATTACTATGGGGGATTAATTACTATATGGGGGATTAATTACTATATGGGGGATGAATTACTATATGGGGGATGAATTACTATAGGGGGGATGAATTACTATATGGGGGATGGATTACTATATGGGGGATGAATTACTATGGGGGATGAATTTCTATAGGGGGGATGAATTACTATGGGGGATGAATTACTATGGGGGATGAATTACTATATGGGGGATGAATTACTATGGGGGATGAATTACTATAGGGGGGATGAATTACTATGGGGGATGAATTACTATATGGGGGATGAATTACTATATGGGGGATGAATTACTATGGGGGATGAATTACTATATGGGGGATGAATTATATGGGGGATGAATTACTATGTGGGGGATGAATTATATGGGGATGAATTACTATATGGGGGATGAATTACTATGGGGGATGAATTACTATATGGGGGATGAATTACTATATGGGGGATGAATTACTATATGGGGGATGAATTACTATGGGGGATGAATTACTATATGGGGGATGAATTACTATAGGGGATGAATTACTATATGGGGGATGAATTACTATGGGGGATGAATTACTATATGGGGGATGTATTTTCAGTTTTAAAAATGTGGCTCTCAAAATAAATTTCAATCGTGGTTTTGGCGAGATTTGGCTCAGTTGAAAAAAAAGGTTGTCCACCACTGACCTAAGGCTATGATTGTGATTATGGCGATACACTGTGGCCCTGATTAACCCTTTGCTTACTGGGCCCTTAAACCCCCTTCATGACCAGAGCGCTTTTTGCAATATATGCAGTGTCGGATTTGTTTTAAATGTTGCAATGGTTTTGCGGCTCCCAGTCTTTTTTTCCCTCTCGGAAACGGGTCCAAGTGGCTCTTTATGTCTTAAAGGTTGCAGACCCCTGGCCTAGGCGATAGGAAGCGGGAGTTCTCCTCCCGCACACACAGTCTTTTGGGACATGTGACAAATCCCAGAAGACTGTGTGACCATTCACAATGCGCAGTGCTGCTCGCACATGCACAGTCGGCACCCAGCTGTGCCCACACTTAAGGTGCCAGAGCCAGGGACACAGGATGGCCAGTGAAGCCAGCTGCGGTGAGGACACTGCTGGATCGTAGGACAGGTGACTGGCTGTTTTTTAACAGTTTTTGTAACTGCTGACTTTGACTTTTTCACTGGAGACTTGAGCTCTGCTAAAGGAAAATCCCCTTGCAAAGTGAACAGACTATTTGTCTTTAATAAATCAACCCACTCTGTTCTCATACCTTGCAGTGCAGAGCTTGTCCGTCTGGGTTACAGACTAGCCACAAGTCTGTTTCCCTAAAAGTTCTAAGGTGACTGTTGCTGTATCGGGGAGTTGTACCACTACAGTAAAATACTGTAGGCAGCTTCAACTTCTTCCGCCCAACGTGCTGCATTCCACACAGACCAAGAAGCCCTGGGAGCCTCCAAAACTATCTGCCAGCTGGTTCACAGCCTCTATCCATTGCGGTCTGTTTTTTGTTCATTAAATGGTTTTTATAATACTACACCCAGATGGCGCTTTTTTTTTCTCCCTTCTTTAAAATACCAACACTTTTTTTTTTTTTTTTAAGTGGAACTAAAACGTGGAACTAAAGTGGAACTAAACTCACCTGCACTTGATCGCTGCAGTGTCTCAAAGCTCCCTGCCAGCCATTGACATCTTCAGCTGGCCTGCTTCCGGGTATCAATCTTCATCCATTTTTATTGGCTGTGCCAAGATGACATCACTGCAGCTCATGCGTGGAAGTTCATTCATCATGGCATTGCCAAACTATACAATGTGCTGCGTAGCTCAATGTACAGGGCAGACAGGCCGGTAAGAATACTTTAATGCAGAACAGTATGTCTCTTCTGCATTAAAAACCCCTTCTGGTTCTCATTTTTTTTCTATAGTTTATGTCATACAGAACTGTTTACAAGAACAAAAAAAATCACGTACAGTATTCAAATGTGTTTTTCCTAACAAATGTCTGGAAGATATATCACAAATATTAGAATGAATGTAGAAATAGTTTCTAATATGAGAGGAGGCAGTTTTTCAAAGTTGTTTTTTAGATAACAGAAAAAGCTACACAAAAAGTCACAGAAACACTGTTACAGATGTAACAAATATATTTGGTAATTTATTCTGATGTTAATTGATATTCTGTTTTCATGCAGTTGGGGAAAACATACAATTTTCTTTTTTATCTTACTTTCTATAATTTTTTCTTTATCCTCCTACATTGGCTTTAGTTTGCTTGCATTCTTGCCCTATTCTCATTCTATTATTCTCTGTGTACAAAGAACTATGGAAAACAACCCTACAGAGGTTAAAATATGTGTTTGAAAAACCGCTAAAGTTAAGGAGAATTTGTGATAACAAATACAAATCTGATCATCTCATCACTTTGCCTGGGGATTGAAAAGAACATTTCTACAGTTTCAAAAACAAGTTTCCATACAAATACTGACTCCCACACAAAGGAGCAGGCTGAAAATGATATTCACTTATCACAATTGTAAGCCAAAAAAGTGCCACACAGAGTAACAGTACAGTAGACTTAATTCTCTAAAATGCGATGGTACAAATAGGCACTTTCAGCCACCAATAAGGGGGTACAGCCAGCTCTCATGTACAGGACCTGGGATCCATAAGTTCCTCAGGGGGCAGAGAGGGAACTCTTTAAATCATTTTGGGTCCATGCACAGTAATTCCAGGGACCATGGAACATTTAAATAAAAGTTCCTTGGGCCCCAACAGTTCAGCAGCAGAGGCCAGAGACAGAGAGGAGTCTATTTCTCCATTTTTGGGAGAAGACAGAATAAACCTCCATGTAGCGCTCCCAACAATTAAATTAAAGTTCCAGCCTCTTCTGCTATGTCAATCCACTGAGGCAGGCCAAAACAATAATTTACAGTAGTTGTCAGGAGCCACAACATGGAGGATTACTTTGCCTGCTCCCTAAAATGAGTAAACAGTCCCCATCTGACCCATGCTGCTGAACTGATGGGACCTTCCACCTGAAAAACTTATTTTTAAAGTGTTACTAAACCCAGGATCGTGCATTCACTATATCCAGTCTCCCACAGTACACACTACATGGAAATGCAATTATTTTAGTAAATATAAACTGCTAAATACCTTTTTCCATCAGCAGTTAGAGCAGTATTGTGACTCCTATCAGTATTCAGCAGAGCACTGAGTAAAGCTTGTAGGACGAGTTTCTTTCTGCTCTAGGAGGATGCAGAACCCCTGACCTCTGTCTGGACAGTGCTGACTGGCCCTGTGCTGATCACATGAACCCTCCGAACAAAAAAAAAAACCTCTCTAGCAATACAAACCAAACTAAGCATGTGTAGAGTGTCTCCACAGAATATGCCGTATCTGGAGATATGAGGGGGACACTGGAAGAAGGGGAGGATCAGAGAAGACAGGATCAAAAAGCCTTTTTACACAATGCAGAGGATTAACCCCTTAGGTTCCACAGTGAGTATAACAAGCATGCTTTACTGCATATACAGACTGATTTTACTGTTGTGGATTTAGTAACACTTTAATTGCTGGGAGTCGTGGTTGGTGGGATTACTGTGTGTGAGCAATAAGGTATTTAAAGCCCTTTCTTTGTGTAGGGTGAAGAAGCCAGCAGAGTATGTAAACTTTTGATTAGGGCCATTTGAGTGATTTCTGTTATCAATATGTTTTAAAAAGGAGCCAAACAACTGTGTGATAATCAGTGGATTCCTATGATCACTATCCTTCAATAAAAGACAGTTTTTTGGCATGATCAGTCATACAGTATTTTGCCAAAAGTATCAATGCCAAAATTTTACCATTTCTGACAGGGTATGCAAACGTCTGCGCACAGCTGTATATACCAAATACTCATCCAACTTCAGAGGTTTCTTAAAAAAAAAAGATATTTAATGATAAATAGACAATAACCAACCAGAGATATAAAATAGCTGAGAACTTAGAGATTGCAAAAGTTAAAGCCCAAGTGAAGCCTCACACCTTTTTTTAATCTCATAGTTATGCACCCCACCCCTGCACATTCTGATTTGTGATTGATCTTTGCTTTGAAAAGTCCTAAAATACTCCATTCTCTCAGTGAAAATGCAGCTTCCTGCTCTACCACTCCAGTGTAATGGTCACACCCCTTATCGCAAGCTTATCGCAAGCATCCTCAAGGGTCGTGACAGTTATGGGGCGTGCCATACTAGATCTGTTACTGAGAGATCTCTTAATAAGAGAACTACTGTAGGTCTAACTTTGGTGCATATTGGACAGCACAGTCATACGTAGACATCATTCCCCAATACTGTGTAGGCAGGTGCCTACAGAAGGAATAATGTTTTTTTTCTGTGTTGACTCTTGATGTTGATGTTCTGCAATTATTTCGGTTCAGTCTGCTGTCTTTCTGGTGAAACTGTTACAATATAGATGTGTGGTGGATCTGAGGAGTTGATTGGCTGGATTTCCCAGCAAAATTCTACAGATCCACATAAAGAGGGGTCTCCAGTGCCCCAGAGAATTCTGACAAAAATCACTGCCAAGATGTAGGCCGTTACCTTGCCGGTCATTGCCCCTATTGAGGAGGGGAGGCACAAGGGATTCCCTGTGGGTCTGGGAACCTGAGGATTCTTAACGGACACCTAAAGAACTCCTACAGGCTTTTTCTACCTCCTGTTGATCACTTGCCAATCATGGACTCTGCCTTTCATGGACTCTTGCTGCTACTCAGATATGATACCCTATGGGTACTAGAGCATATCTGCACAGGAAGAAGTTGCCTACAAGAACTGTTCCTGTATATCTGCCTTACTATAGTAAAGTTCCAGTTAACCGTTTACTGCTGGTCTGAAGTCTTTCTCTTAAGTGGTGTATTGCATGGCATATCCAAAGCCAGGGCTTGTGACTAAGGGGATTTAGTTTACAGTAGGCACTACACATAGAGTCCAGCATGGGTCTGCTGTCCAGTGTAGGCTATATCGCTAAACTAGGGACAACTATGTTACTGTGTCATTTGTTTAAGGCAGCCAACAAGCCAGGGGATGGTGACTTGGCAAGGGTGATGGTTACTCTGGTGGTGAAAGGGGTGTTATGCTTGGCTCCACACTAGCACCCTGCTCCTCCAATTCTGGATCTGACCCAGCGACACAGAGTACCTAGGGACCTAGCCTGGGAAGTCAAGAGTGAGAGGTATAGAATAGTACAAGCTTGTAATTACAGGTTGGTGTAATGAGTTCCCCTGTATCCAGTAGCAACTTGCTGGCATGTCATTGAGAGTGAGGTGACAGGGTATTGCTGTGTTGGTGTTGACTGTGACCTGATCTGTTGCCCAGTCCCTAAATGCTGTGCACCTGGGAGTTTGTGTCTCTAACCTGTAGGGGTGGTTATAGTGTTAACCATGAAGTTAGTTAGCAATGGGAGCGACAGCCTTGGTCTCCTCATTGGCTGAGACAGCAAGTAGGAGCCATTGGCTCCCGCTGCTGTCAGTCACAGCCAATCAGCCAATGAGGAGAGAGAGGAGGGCCAAGCCAAGGCTCCGTGTGTGAATGGATACAATGAGCAGTGGGTGTCCCCATAGCAAGCTGCTAGCTGTGGGGGCACTCAACAGACAGGAGGAGCCAGGAGAGCCCGCAGGGGACCTGAGAAGAGGAGGATCTAGGCTGGCCTGTGCAAAACCACTGCACAGAGCAGGAAAGTATAGCATGTTTGTTATTTTAAAAAAAAAAATTTACCTTTAGAATCGCTTTAAAAACTAAATGTGATGGGTTGGGTGGGCAAACCTGCACATTATGGTACACTCTCATTATGGTACCTCTCAGTGTGCTGCCTTCCAGGTCCAAAGCTCAAGTCACAGCTCCATCTGTGTTGAATAAACATAATAATCTTTGTTCTGTTAGATGTTTTGATGTAACAATCATGTCTCCCATTTCATTTTTCAGATGCTAAGCACCAAAACACATGGGAAAAAATTTACACTGTGGAGAAACATCCAATCATTCCTTTACACTGGATCACAGGAAGAGTGTTTGGGGCTCAAATGTGGGAGCTGGAGTAAAAGTGAGGCTATTTCCTACATAAGCAGTTAAAACATAACTCCACTTTGTTGATTAAAAAAATTCTGGGTGTTCTATGTACATTGCAGAGATTTTAGCAAACTTTGTTACAGATTCCTACGTGTTTCTGCTCCGAAGAAATGGCTGTTTGTTCCACTGTGTAGTTTGGATACTAATTCTGAATGGGTGTGAGTGCTTCGTTATAATCAGTTGGTGAACTGTTCATGTTCTAATATGAAAAGCTGCATTGTCTGCATCTCTTTAGATGTATTTAACACTTGCAACTCACCAAAAATAACATTTCTGTTGCATGTTAAAAACAATAAATTGCAATATTGCTTGTGTTGCAATTGTATATGCTATATAATTATTTTTATATTTATTATTTTTTTAATTTGCTATTTTGGTTTCGTGACAATAAAGGTACCCTTTAGGTTTTCTGTTCTTCTGTTCACTGTAGCATAACATAAGGAGTTATCAATATTCATGAAATTGTAATTATCTCTCAAACTTTTCTTTTCTGTAATGTTTTTATGTGCAGAATTAAAAAGTTGAAGTAGTAGAACATGAACTTCCACAGGATCACTTCGCACAGAAAGCCAGTAAGTCTTCCTCCTCACTGCTGAATAGACATGATCAATGACCTCTGGGGGAAGCATAGCCAACACTTCCATATGCCTCCATGTTTGGGGGAATACGGTACCCTGATTACCTTGCACTTTCCCATTCATCAGCTGTCAGTAGAGACTGGTGATCTGATCACTCACACTTCGACTCTAATTTATTCGTATTCTATTTCTTCTTCTGCTTCATATTCTATTTCTTCTTCTTCTTCAAATTCTATTTCTTCTTCTTCTGCATATTCTATTTCTTCTGTTTATTCGTATTCTATTTCTTCTTCCTCTTCATATTCTATTTCTTCTTCTTCTGCATATATTCTATAAATATTGCCGGCCGTAGACGGGACGAAAATCAGCCGAAATTTTTTTACCAAATAGTGGTAATGTCGGCTGATTGAACGACCGATTTTTCGTTTTTCAAAAAAAAAACGTCCGGTTTTCTCCCCATCTATGGCCTGCATAAGGCACTACCCCACACCAAGTCATACACAGCAACAAACACTCTCTTGACCTGGAAAAAAAATCCATTAGTAACAGAGAGGCCAGGCCACCTTATGAACTCTCGAAGGAAGATTAACGATTTCTCTATAGAGAACCTCTAACTTCTATATGGCAGTCATACCACAATATTAGATTTCACAAGAAAGTGGAGCTACATGATAAATTTTGTAATAGCAGGCCCCATTCAATATTTTCAAGTTATCTGTCTGTACATATACAGTTGTGACCAAAATTATTCAACCCCCACTGAAATTGAGTGTTTTTGGCCAGTTTGACATTGCTTTTGATCATTCAGTCATCTTGCTTACATTTACATTAAAGAGGCACTTGTAGGTCAGACAAATATAACATAACAGTTATAATGAAATAACCACAAATGTCTTTTCTGTGCTCACAGCATTATCAGTTTTATTCAACCCCCAAGTGACATTCAATCTTAGTACTTAGTACAGCATCCTTTTACAGTTATAACAGCTTTTAAACGTGAAGCATAGCTTGACACAAGTGTCTTGCAGCGATCTACGGGTATCTTCGCCCATTCTTCATGGGCAAAGGCCTCCAGTTCAGTCACATTCTTAGGCTTGCGCACTGCAAACTGCTTTCTTTAGTCCCACCAGAGGTTCTCAATCGGATTTAAGTCTGGTGACTGCGATGGCCACTCCAAAATGTTCCAGCCTTTCCTCTGCAACCATGCTCTAGTGGACTTGGAGGTATGCTTGGGATCATTGTCCTGTTGAAAGGTCCAACGTCTCCCAAGCCCTCAGGTTGTGACGGACTGCATCACGTTTCCATCCAATATCTCCTGGTACTGAAGAGAATTCATGGTACCTTGCACACGCTGAAGCTTCCCTGTACCTGCAGAAGCAAAACAGCCCCAAAGCATGATTGACCCTCCACCATGCTTCACAGTAGGCAAGGTGTTCTTTTCATCATAGGCCTTGTTCTTCCTCCTCCAAACATAGCGTTGATCCATGGGCCCAAACAGTTCTAATTTTGTTTCATCAGTCCACAGAACACTATCCCACACAACTTTTGTGGTTTGTCCACATGGCTTTTGGCATACTGCAGTCGACTCTTTCTTATTCTTTGGAGACAGCAAGGGGGTACGCCTGGGAGTTCTGGCACGGAGGCCTTCATTACGCAGTGTGCGTCTTATTGTCTGGGCTGAAACTTCTGTACCCACATCTGACAAATCTTTTCTCAGTTCCTCAGCAGTCACACGGGGACTTCTCTCCACTCTACGCTTCAGGTAGCGCACAG